ACAAAAGGCAGTTATCCTAGAGACCGCACGCAACGTGAGAAGGTTCCTGTATCTGCAGCCCTGACCACTGGTTGTTTGAGTCATGGGACTCCGCAGCCGGTGGTGTTCTATTTTTAATATAATATATTTTGTATATTTTTTTAATTTTTTATATGAAATGTTATAAAGAATAAGGTTAATAAATGTATAAGTGTAGATATAAGGTCACTTAACCATTTTGACAAATTTAGTTAGCTGTTTGTAAGTTTACCGCCATATACTATTATATAAAAAAACACACACAAAAACTTTCCAGTATAATAGCTATCGTTTCAAAATGTACCTGTACCGGATTCAACCATTTCTTAAATGTATTCATTCAACTACAAGTAAATTTCTAGACGAACTTATTCTCTCGTGTAACAAGTATCAATTCTAATTCAATTGTAGAGAATTATTGAGGCAGTGCACTGTCGGTCATTGCGCAATCATCCGCGTTGGGACCATCAAATCTAGACATCAATATATATAAACAAAATTGGAACGTCTTTAATATTGAAATAACCGTTTTCTAGCCTATGTGATCTTAAAGAGTATGTTCTACATATATAGTTAACTAGCGGACCCGATAGACGTTGTCCTGTCTACACGACTTTAATTTGAATAAATCAATATGAAGTTAAAATTTGATGAAAATTGTGAATCTAAACCATTCCCCTATCCCCTTGAACACACACAAAAAATTTCATCAAAATCGGTCCAGTCGTTTGAGAGAAGTTCAGTGACATACACACTCACAGAAGAATTATATATATAAAGATTTCATCGCGATCTGTGCAGCCGTTCTGGAGATATATTTTAAAAGCATCCATCCATACATCCAAACAATCGCATTTATAAGTAAGGTAAGATATTTAATTCTTTTTATAAATGTATATCTACTCGTACTAGCTGTCGCCTGCGACTTTGTCCGCGCGGAATTTAAAGAATACTTAATAAGTAGCCTATGTATTCTTTCACACTATGTTCTACGTCTTTGTCAAATCAAAACAACCATACATCTAAACATCGCATTTATATTAGTAAAAAGAAAGATATATTTACTTTTAACATCAGATAATCCGTTAAATCTATAAATTAAATTATTGTCTCTTGTCTTCCAGACGAAGGTTCATAAATGTATGCATAAGTACTAAAAATGCATACCTTGCATGTAGTATAAAGAATTTTTCAAATGACATTTCTTGCATTATGCTTAATATAATATTAAAAAACAAATACCTCGGCGCAAACAAGAAAATGCTATCTATTCAGAAGTAAATAACCGTAGGATTCCACTGCACTGTATTCATATTTGTCATTCCTTTCTTTTTTTATCAAAATAGATACTACAATATGTATAACGATAGTGTCAAGGCAGTGAAATACTACGCTAAAGCACGTATGTACCGCATCAGTACAAAATAGAAGGCAAAATATTCTATTACATTCGTTGGCAAAACTACGCCAAACTCAATTTTCGCTGCCAGAAATATTGGCATAGGAATCTGTCAAGACTTTACTATTTATCTAGTGTGAGATAAGTTTGTTCGTCTAAAATAGAAAACATGTTACTAATGAAGTCCGACTTTTCTTATATTGTTGTATTAAATCTTACTAATATTATAAACTAGCTGTCGCTCGCGACTCCGTTCGCGTGGATATATAAAAAAACTTAATTAGTGTAGCCCACCCATCCATCCATCCACATCACATCCATCTAAACATCTCTTCAAGGCATAAATTCGAAAAAAATGAATAAATAGTATCCTATATCCGTCTCCTGGCTCTAAGCTACAACCTCACCAATTTTCAGCTATATCGGTAAAGCCGTTCCTGAGTTATAAATAGTGTAACTAATACGACTTTCTTTTATATATATACATGCGAATATTTAGATGGATGGATGAATGTTTGTTTGAAGGTATCTCCAGAACGGCTGCATAGATCTCGCTGAAATTTGACATAGATATAGAACATAGTCTGGAAGGACACAGAATATTAGTATGATTTAAATCAATAAAGCAACTTGTTGTGTACCGTGCTTGCTTAATCTTGCTTAGTGTTCAATGACATTAACAACTTACACCAACAACTAATTAACAAAAACCGCTGATATCAAAACTCTTCTATCCTTAATGTAGAATAGTTTCATCTCATTTACTTCATGATAACTACCAATTATTTTAAAAAGTAGGTTAACGATCGATTAAAGTGGAATCGATGTTAAGAAATCGATTTAACAACGCAAATCGATATTGCGAATCGATTATTTCTTTTTGTTAGTGACTGTGTTATGCTTTAAAGTAAACATAAATTCAAGGTTCATATGAATCCTTAAAATCGAGAGAGACCTTAACTATAAAGAATTTGAATATTATAGCTATAAATATAACGTAATAAATAATTTATGTTTCGCGAATTAATTTATTTGAATAAAGTCGGCATAATATGCTAATTTTATTTTGTTAAAGAATTCTATCTAAAACTTTGTTAACCTTATTGTTTTTTTTTCTTTATAAAAGTTACTTTGTGTGCTTTGATTTTTTTATCATAATATTTCGAAGCTATAAAAATTAATCAATATATTGAGTCAAGTGGTGCCCCCTAATATTGATTTAAGTGACCTACACTTAGTGGATTAACGTCTCTGAGTTCAGCATTTATATTTAAAAAAAATTAAAATCGATTTTTAATCCTTTATTTTTGAAACAAAATCATGGTCACCGTACACAAAGAATTAGGGGGCCGTTTGTCTTAATATAATTGTAGATGCACGAGGGGTCCCAGTTTTATTGTCCGCGGAATGACTTTATTGTTGCTATTCGACGTAAATCTGACAAATAATAGCCACAGAGTAGACAGGATGTAAGATGTACAAAATTGTTTATTGAGTGCTAATTGAATTCTCGCGGACGTTTATTTGGAAATATTTTCTTCAATAGATTTACTGATTATATTTTAACTGTGTCATTTATTTTAGCTACAACATTACGAATCGTACTTTTAATAAGTAAAAACCAATTCATATTTGTACTAGCTGTCGCCCGCGACTCCGTCCGCGTGGATATATAAAAAACTTAATTAGTGTAGCCTACCCTTCCATCCATCTACCATCCATCTAAACATTTCCAGTTATAATATTAGTAAGTTAAATAATAAGCAGCTCTTCAAGGCATAAATTCAAAAAAAAATTAATAAACAGTATCCTATGTCCGTCTCCTGGCTCTAAGCCGTTCTTGAGTTATAAATAGTGAAACTAACACGAATTTATTTTATATATATAGATTTCAGAAATTGCATATATATTTGAGTACTATTAAAAATATATATTAACTTTATACTCAATATTAGTTTTATTAGATATTAGGAAAATCAAGTAAAAAATATAACCTACTAGCTATCGCCAGCAACTCCGTCCACCGAAATTAAAAAAAAACATTATAAGTAACCTATGTGTTCTTCCAGACTATGTTCTATATGTGTGCCAAATTTCATCGAGATCCGTTCAGCCGTTTTGGAGATATCTTCAAACAAATATCCATCCATCCAAACATTCGCATTTATAATATTAATAAGAAGTAATACGCCGGGATGTGTGTGCCTATTAGTTACAAACAAACGAATCTTTCCTTTTTATATTATTAATATAGATATTTAAGTAAAATAAATATTTTATGAATAACGTATATTATTTTATTTATGTTTCACTAGAGTTTATTTATCGGTAAGAAATATATTACTTTTTTTTGACCATAGATTTTGCGAACATGTTACTCTATCTTTATCTATTATAAAATTAATTCTTAAGACATTATCTATCGTAACATCAAAAGACATATACAATGATAAGAACCTGCTCTCAGTTGTATGATTTATTATTTGGCATTAATTCAAATTTTTTCAAAGAAAAAAATGCTAAAAAACAGACCTATATAATTTATTAGCATAGTTTCGTTTGATCTGATTTCTTCTTAATCTTTGATAATGTGCATGAAATTTTTTAATCATATTGTGAATTTCCATTATCATATTGAATTTAAAAAATAAGTTCATGGATTCCACTGTTGAGTTATACAAAAATATATTGTCATCCAGCTCATTTACTTAAAAAAATAGAGATAACAATATCTATATATATATATATAAAAGAAAGTCGTGTTAGTTACAGTATTTATAACTCAAGAACGGCTTTATTGATATGCCTGAAAATTGGTGTGGAGGTAGCTTAGAGCCAGGAGACGCACGTAGGATACTATTTATTCATTTTTTTTATTTTTGTTTCGAATTTATGCCTTGGAGAGCTGCCTTTTATTTAAATTACTAATATTATAAATGCGAATGTTTAAATGGATGTGATGTGGATGGATGGAAGTGTTTGAAGATATCTCTAGAACGACTGAACGGATCTCGATTAAATTTGGCACACGTATAGAATATAGTCTGAAAGAACACATAGGCTACACTATTTTTTTTTATATTTCCACACGCACGGAGTCGCGGACTACAGCTAGTATTTCTATAAAGGCATTTCGACAGAGAAAACTCAGACTAATATTATTTAAATTACTAATGCTAACAAATCGTAATACGTCGTTTATTACGATTTCTTTTGTCATTGACTAAACGCGCTAACAAAATTGTCTTCAGCTCATGTGGTAACGAAGTAAAATGCAATTAAAAAATTTACCTTATTCATTTGTTATCTTACTTGTCCTATTTCACTGTACAAGGAAAAAGGCCGTTAAAGGTTTCTAGTTTTGTAACCTACAAGTTTGCTACGAGTAATTTCAGTATTTTGCTTCGCTTGGAAAGAGAACTTATGTAAAGAATAGCATTTTCAACATCCAAGAGTACATATTCCTTTCAAGTTCTTTCTTCACTTATTAAGTAACAACTTGCTCTAAATAAGATATTTGAAATTATAGCTGGAAAATAATTCTAAAGGAAAATTTTAAATATAGTAAAATTAGTTAACTTACATTGTTAAATTAATCAGCTTTGAATTTTCTAAACAGGGGTCACGTCAACACATTAAAAACACCAATCTTACTTATCATTAATTACTTCACTTTATTTTACAGTTTTAATATCGGAAACTTTAGCGCGGGAAACTTTGCAAGCGAGCGACACTGATTCAACAGACATCCGTACTCGGCGCGTGCTGCGCGTCAACTGGCCGGCGAGAAGTTTTTTCACCAAAGAGTTTTCATTATTTTGATCACGCGTCAGAGGGCGGGAAAGCCGCGTTCGAATTATGAATGTTGTACGCATTTTGTCTATGTCGGTATCTCCTCAAACACGGAGTACTTGCGAATACTTAATCAAAAAGGGTTCAACGACATACATTAATCTACAATCTTTTTATAGCGTTTAACTGATAAAAATTTAAAAATAGCTAATTTTATATATAAATTCACTAACTTAAAACCAACAAATGAAGACTTAACTCAGTGCATTAATGCAAATAATTCATACTGTAACTATAAGAGCTTTAAAATTCGAAATAATCACTATTGTTTTGAGGCTTATAATTTTTATACGAAGAGTAGTACAAACCTTTTTAATTCCACCTAACAAATAAAAATATTAATATTAAGAAATCTAATTGTGATTTTTTAATTAAATGTTTCGTTTTAAAGTTTGTTTTTTATGGGACCCTAACAAAATGATACAAAGACCTTATGCAAAAAATACAAAGCCGAGTTTACAGTTAAGCGTACGTGTTTTTATTTCTCTTAAAATTCTGTAGTTAATGAATATTTTATCACAGCTGTTCCGACGTTTAAAAATGTTGCCAGTTCATTTATATTTTTATCTAGTGCGGTAACATTAATTTATGTTTTAATTTGTACGTGTGTGTTTAATATTTGTAACTGAAAAGAACATTATTATAGCGTTGAATATAACATTATAAAAGCGTTTTCGTACGTTATTGTAACCTTTGTATAATGATATTATAGATGCGAATTAGATGGATGGATGGATGTTTGAAGGCATCTCCGGACTGAACGGATCACGATGAAATTTGGCACACATATAGAACATAGTCTGGAAGAACACATAGTCTAATCATGTGATTTTTAATTACGCGCGAACGGAGTCGCGGACGACCGCTAGTTTAAAGTATATAAAAGTAGCATATATCAAAAGAAAAAAAAAATATTTTTTTTTAGTACTTGCTTGTATCAAACATTAATAAAAAAATCTTTTTTATTTCTCTCGGGCACTCAATTTAGATTATATTTTGAAGGATTTATTTTAAGTAAACATTTTATATTTTTATAATACAAACTTTTTTATCTTTGTTACGTCATCAGACTCAACACATCTTTAGCAAAGTATGAGATAATATTTGACGATAAAATATCAAAACCCAAATCATCACATACTATGGTACATTAAACCTTAATACAAAATGAAATGGCCTAAGGTTTTTTCTAATATGATATTTAAAACTCTATTTCTATAGGCATAAAGTCTAATTTCAGTTATCATTTGAGACAGATATGTTAGACCAATGTCCCCAAATAAAAATACATGGCCGGTAAGAAAAACACATCATAAAATTATAAGTATAACGAGCAATAGTGTAAATCATTTTTATGCCTCTATTTACTTTGACCAAATAAAATTTCTATTTCCCTAACGGATTAATTTCTTTTTCAATAAAAGCTAAGAAAGTAGTCACTTATCGTTAGAACGAATTTAATAATCTTACTCAATTACAGTCGAACCTGGAAAAGAGAGAAACCTCTGAAAGCGAGAGTCAGTGTAGTACCGACGAACGAAATCATTAAGTGAGAAACTTGGGTTAGAGGAAAACGTTATAAACAAGAGTCACTGTCTAATCCCGACGAAGAACCTCCGTAAGCGAGAAACTTGTGTTATAGAGAAACTTCTATAAGCGAGAGTCATTGTTTGGGCCGGACGAATGACACCCATAAGCGAGAAACTCGGGTTAGTGACAAACCTCTATGAGCGGGACAAATGTCCCTTCGACTCTCGCTCATCCAGGTTCGACTGTATTTATTTTGTGCAGTAAAATAAAGTCTTTATAAGTATTTTGTCAGTCGGGCAATGACTTCATAACTACGAGTACTTATCACTACTTATAGTCCCGAAAAGTTATCTTGCCCGGTGAAAGTGAGGGTTAGTTTTGCCTGAAAATAAATATAAACAAACTTAGACTTACTCAAAGAACAGAATACGACTAAATAGGTAATTTAAGATACGCATCCATTAACCCGCGCCGGACGCACCGCACGCGGAATAAATGGATTTGCTTTATCTTACGATGCGGGCGGTGCGGATGATAGACGCAGCGTTATGTAAAATCATACAAAGCAAACTATAATCCGTTGCGGGCCGTGCGTGCGATGCGTCCGGTGCGGGCAAATGGACGAGTACCTTTATAATGCGACTCATTCGTCACGGTGTAAAAGAGTATTTGAACAATAAAAAAGAGTCACTTTTTTGGCACTGACATTTTATATAACAGATACGATCCTCCTTTTTACGTAGAAAAATTAAAAGAAATATTTTGCGGCCAGAATTAAATATAAATAGTTATAAATAAAAATTGTAACGGAAATAATTTCCATGTTTAATGGATAGATGCGTCTTGTTTTATCGTCGATTCCGTGAAAACGTACGTACAGTCCAATTTCTAATTTTATTACGATTTCTCACAAGACCTTCGGAAAAACACAGTAGGACAAACTAATTTGGCCCGGTTTGAAAGGCGGTTAAACATTTAAAATTACACAAAAAACACTATTTGATAAGACAGCTACAGTCCGATAAGAATTTTGTTATTTCTTGTCACTTACCAACCGGGTCAAATAAATTTGACGGACTATACTTCATAATAAATTGGTATTTACAGGCATTTATGAATCATTAGTTGTTATTGTAATATCGACCTAGGACCATTATCACTGGAGTCAGGAAATGGTCCTTGTTCCCACGATATTCATACGATACGGTCCGTGAACTAAATTTAATTTATAATTTATCATTGTGACCGTAAAATTTCAATAAAAAATAAGCAGTAAGCCATTAATTATTAAAACAAAAATTGAAAAAAGAACACTTATTTTTTAAATCTTCAAAATGACGTATAAACATTTTGACAGATGACAGATGACAGCCCACTCTTGACGCTAGCGCCATCTAGAACTGTCAGTTTACTCCCAACTAATAACTGCGTGTGTCGATGAAGGAATAATGCACAAAATTAGTCAGTTAATGACAAGTTAAATAGTACACCTCGGGGAATTCAATGTGATTTGTTATTTAGGTCAACGGCACAATAACAGCGGCCAACATTGTCGCGAGATGTTCTTAGAAACATATACATGAATATGTAACTGTCATGTATTTAAAAATCATATTCAAATTTGTATCAGTTGTTGAAATTAATAGGAATTTTCCCAGCGCACATACTAATACTGCCATCCTTATCATACCTCCTTGAAATAACAGAGATAGCTTCTTTAGAATCTGTATTTTCCCGCGTCGCGCTGACGACTCAATCCGCGTGAATTAAAAATATAAGCCTATGTGTTCTTCCAGACTATGTTCTATGTATACCAAATTTAATTGAGATTCATTGAGCCGTTCTGGTGTTACCTTCTAACAGACATCCATCCATCTAAACATTCTCATTTATATTAGTAAGATTGTAACCCACTATTACAGCATAGATTTAATATTGTCGATGTTTTTAAAAACATAGACACATCCGACGAAAATGGTTACATCTCGCTTAAGATATAACTCTTCGAATGTGTGGATCTTCTTTTGTTTCGTCTTCGGAGAAATACAATTTTACATCGCTTTTGAATACCGTTATTTGAGAAACAAAGATCTATGGAGTGTATTATTCCTAAAATTATTAGGTATGAGGACAATCGTTTTAAATGTCAATTCTTTCCTTATTCTTTAGCAGGTAAAAGACCACTTCCAGTGAAATTGGATCAAGGTCTTATTCGAGTGAATGAAGTTCAAAATTAATATTACTTGGAAGAATTTAGTTTTACAAATAAAATTCACATCTTCCTATTCAATAAATGAGTCAGTTAAGGAAAAAAATACGACGTCCTTTTCTTTCTCTGTCCTTCGAACTTCTGTCTCACTCTTATTACTTGTATTACGTATTAATGTTTCGACAATGAAAACTCACGCAAACATCTTATATATAAAAATCTCGTGTCACAATTTTCGTTCCCATACTCCTCCGAAACGGCTTGACCGATTCTCATGAAATTTTGTGAGCATATTGAGTAGGTCTGAGTATCGGCCAACATCTATTTTATAATCCTGCGCGGAAGTCGCGGGCGACAGCTAGTATATTTCTAATATTATAAATGCGAATGTTAAGATGGATGGATGTTTAAAGGTATCTTCAGAACGGATGCATGGATCTCGTTAAAAATTGGCATAGATGTAGAACATAGCCTGCAAGCACCCATAGGCTACTTTTTTTTTCGCGCTGACGGAGTCGGCGTTAACTAGTCTGTTATGCATACCCTTAGTATTATCTTTCTTTAGTATGTGGAATGTAAACATGCGTATGAACTGAACACAGAAATAGAGATACTAAATGAGCCAACTACTACTACCAGACAAGGGTAACAGGTGCGCTCTGGTTACTAGATGAGACACGCTTAATATAATATGGAAATAATATTATTTTAAGACCACTTTCTTTGATCCATTAATGTTGCTGTTTAAATCAATATTTAAAAATATATAATCTTATATCTATAAATTAAAATTGATTACAACTCATAGGCTCACTCACTCATAGACTTAGGTACTATATGTGCCTAAGTCTTTCACTTTGTATATAAGGCAATTCTTTCTTTATATAATCTTACTAGTATTATAAATGCGAATGATTGGATGGATGTTCGTTTGAAGTTATCTCCAAAACGGTTGTACGGATCTTCCTGAAGTTTGGTATGTAGAACACAGTCTGGAAGAACACTTAAGCTACTATTTCAGTATATAGGGTTCCGTACCTCATAGGAAAAAAACGGAACCCTTATAGGATCACTTTGTTGTCCCTCCTTCCGTCTGTCAAGGCCCTTTTTTTTTAATGCGCACGGAATAACTCGCAGGCGACAGCTAGTAAAATATAATACTTCGAAA